ATGCACACTGGCTGGAGTTAGAGAGGCACTCACCACACGACCTCCTCCTTTGTAAGACAAAAAGATGTGCCGGGAGGAGAGGAGGACAACCATTAGAGTTATAGTTTCAAGTTTCAAAGCTTTTAATGTCACGTGTGCATAGCTACAGTGTAGTTATGAGAATGAAAATCTGAGGTCACAGGCTCCTCCAATAGCGCAACACAATAACACAGGTAACATAGTTCAAGTAGATCAAATAAAACAGAATATAATAGAAACAGAAGAGGACAGAAACTGTGCAGAATAGTCTATACAGTAGGGATGTAACGATATATCGAATATCACGATAAATAAATGTCTCGATACCGCCGTGAGACACATTCTTTTTTTTTTTTTAAACCTTTATTCAACCAGATGGTCCCATTGAGATCATCATGATCTCTTTTTCAAGGGAGACCTGTCCAACATGGCAGCAAGTAGGTTACAACATGAACATGAAACAACAGATAACACAAAAGGACATGGTATTTACAGGGCTACATGTACACACCTAGAGACATTGACAAGTACCAACAGTATATTTATATCTCACCCTGTCAATAAGCCTCACCTTCTGGGCAGAAACTGTATTGTTTTTGAAGTGGTGGAGAGACAATGCACAGTTTGACCCACTGCTGTCACCCATGGCCAAAGCATATCTCTCTGTCCCAGCAACATCAGTACCAAGCAAGAGAGTTATATTGTAAACGCCCAAACATCCCAGCTTCTACCTGGAAATGTGGACATGCTCATATTCCTAAAAGATAACCTTGATGGTGCTGAGTGAGTGAGTGAGTGAGTGAGTGAGTGAGTGAGTGAGTGAGTGAGTGAGTGAGTTAGTGAGTTAGTGAGTTAGTGAGTTAGAGTTGAGTTACTTGAAAAACTAAAGTGAAACTTGATTTATTTTATTGCAGGGTCTGATTATTATATTTTTGACGCTTTAAAATACTACTATCCTACTAAAATACTGTACAAATCAGATGTATTATTTAATAAAGAAAGTTATTCCAAATAAATCTTTTCAATATCGCGATAAATATCGTACCGTGAGTTTTTGGTATCGTTACATCCCTAATATACAATAATTGGAATATTGATATATGTGAGTTGCAAACAGATGAATGTTATGGATGGGCTATAGGCTCTTGTTGAAATGTCCTCTGGTGAAAAGAAGTTGTTTTAACTCACTGGTTGCAGACTTTAGGACACACCCTTGGGTCCCGTATGGATCCATCTAGTCGGCCCCGTCGGCTGCACTGGTAGTCGCCTTTCTTGCTGGAGTTTATCTGCCACTCACAAAAAGTATCCTGCAGGCCAAAGTAAGGTTAGCATGAGTCCGAAACACAGCAGCTCCAAATCAAGTTATAAAATATCAGCTGCGGTGAAAACCTGTTTAAATGAGGCGTTACCTGAGTGCAAGCAGAGCAGTCTCTGTACTCCTCACACAGGGTGCAGTGCTGCGGTGCCAGCAGCAGATGGCGCTCACCATCTCCTCTGCCTTCCCCCTTCTCCCCCTCAGGGCAGGGCTCGATGTCCGGGGCGTCTCGCAGCAGGCAGCGGGACAAGGAGGGACACCAGCCACAGGACTGGTCGGACAGACAGGCCAGGCAGGACATGTACGCTGAGCAGGACCCCGAGCGGTACGGCTCCAGGAACAGGAAGGAGATCTCCTGCAGGGGGAGCAAGTTGTGGAGAAACGGTTTGTCTTTGGTTTTCACTACTGAATGAAAAATACAGATGAGTGAGTGAATGTGTAAAGACCAATAAGTTACAGCTCAATTGAGAAAATCATCAAACACCTATAATAGAGGTTACATTTGTTTGTATGTATAGGACAGGAGGAATTATTTTATGAAGGGTCAAAACCGTAAACTTAGATTTTCAAGCTTGAGTGAGGTTTGCAGAGGTCCACAGGTACGGGATGAAATTAAAACACTATAAAAATGTCTTTATCTGTGTCACTCTTTGAAAAGATCTTAAGGTTTTAAAAACACTTCATGGCTGGGGACTCATTAAACTAATTACCCTTATTTTCCCAAGTGATGTGTATGTGTTTATATTATGTAACCTATTTTGAACCACGGTTTAGTCCAATGTTTAGGGAGCATTTAGTAGTTAGGGTTGGATAAATATTGTTTTTAGAGTACTTGGTTAGTGTTTGGTTAAGCGTGTAATGTTTCTGTATAACACATGAACTCTCTCCAAATCTAGATATGTTGACATTATATCTAGTAAATAATTTATGTTTAGTGTCTGGTGCTTATCGGGTTGTCCCATTTCATATATCTCCATTATGTCTGATGATATAGCACTCACACTCCCTCCAGGTAATGTTCTGTTCCATATCAGGGCCATCTCGCTGGTCTGTCCCGAGCCCGAGTTGTTCAGGTATCCCTCCGCCTGAACCAGGTAATGGTTTCCCCTCGTCAAGTTGGAGAACAGTCGGCTCCCGTCTGTTCGAGCAAGCAGCTTCAACTCCTTCTCCTGCTGCGCCGCCCAGCGACCCACCACCTCCTGCTCCCATAGGATAGAGATGAGAGAGAAAGAAAGAAAAAGTGTTAAGAGTTAAGAAAGGTAGGTAATAAATAAGTGCTGTTCATTTAATACACCTCTCAGTTATCTATTATTATTATATCTAAATTATAAGGTATGCCTGGTTAACTACTTTTTGGTCAAATAGCATTTCACAAATGAGGAAAACATATTCCATTATAACAGGAATATGCAGGAACCCTGAAGTCAAATGAAAGACCTCTGAAGACCTTTTTTAAGACCCTTTCCATACATACACAAGACCTCATCGCTACTTTGAGTTTTAACCGGTTACCTTGGCGACACACTTTACCTCACATTAACTATATAGTATACAGTATTGATTGTCCTTCCTCCTTATCTTCCAACCATTTGGACGCAAACTTGCATTTCCCCATAACGATGTTGCTTAGCAACCGGCGTAAACGGGCCTTCACGAGCTATCAAGCAGTGAGTGTGCGTCAAATCCAACGGGATGCCATAAATAAAACTACACAGAATCACACTACACACCTACGCATGATTACATTCAGGCAGACTGTAGAATACAACCTCTTTGGACAATTTATATACTTATTGAAAACAAGCTACAAAATGTAATACCTTGGAAAATGCCGTTTAATACTTTTTAATAGCCTTAATTTTCGCTAAATTCATTTATCAACTTGTAATACTTTTTAAGACCCCGCGGACACCCTGTATAAGGCAGTGAATTAAAAACACAATTACAATCTATTAAAATATCTTTCCTGATTTCATTAGACTATTGGACAGGCTTACATGTTTACTTTGACATTTAAAAGCATCAAAACTGTCAGAAAGATANTCAATATATATTGTCTTTTTAAACAAAAAATAATTTAGCAAAAACATTCACAGTTTAAAGAATAAAGTGCCATATGCACAAAGTCGACTTTGATTATGCAACTAAAACAGTAAAATCTTCATCTGCAAATATCAGAGTCCCTATAACATCCAAGATCTTAGCACAGTGCTAAGATCTTGGATGTTATAGGGACTCTGATATTTGCAGATGAAGATTTTACTGTTTACGTTGTATAATCAAAGTCGACTTTTTTTTAAACTCAGACTTTGTGCATATGGCACTTTATTCTTTAAACTGTGAATGTTTTTGTTAAATTATTTTTCATTTAAAAAGACAATATATATTGACTTTTTTTACAGTACCACAACATTTCAGAATATTTATTGGTAACACCCGTATCAGGATACATTTGATATTGTTCTATTGTTATTGTCCTTGCTGACACACAGCTCTATCTTATTGTGAGGAATGTTAGATAGTTATATTGACACACACTCAAAGAGGAGTACATGTCCTGCACTGATTTCTCCTGTGGGAATGCCTGCCTTGCATTAATGACTGTTATTTAACATGGGACTAAAATCACTATATTTGGTACGATGGAAACAGTAATAAACAGCTATTTTTGCATCTTGTTGGAAACAGTGTAAAACCAGTTTTAGTCAAAATGTTTCCTCTCTTCAAACCAATTCAGTTAGCCAAACACAGGTATCTGACATTGGAATCAATGTGACAGTATCAAGTGTTGAAATTCGTAAAGCAACATTTCACTCTCTTAACACTTTACTTGTGTAATATCTAGGGATGGGTATCGTTAAGGTTTTTAACGGTACTACTACTCTTAAAAATCTGTGTGCACACCACTGCAGCGTATGTTAGGCCAGGCCAGGCCAGGCCAGGCCAGGCCAGGCCAGGCCAGGCCAGGCCCCGCCCCCCGCACACAGAGAGAGAAGGAGAGAGTTAGGCCCCGCCCCCCGCACACAGACGAGACACAGGGAGATCGCTCTTCTGGAGTGAAGAGAGCGGAAATAATGATATTGCAAGTTAGAAACGTAAGATGCATTTTGACAGACAAGACGGACACTTGGGGGAAAATATGCTGCATTTTGAATGTCCGATAGTCCACCATTAACACCTTAGTCCCGTCTCGTCAACGAAAACAAAATATATATTTCGTCATAGTTTTTATTATCAAGAATCTATTTTTAGCTCGTCATCGCCTCGTCTTAGTTGTGTAAAAAAGGTTGTTGACGAACATTTTTCGTCATATTTTTCATTGATAAAATGAACACTGATATAGAGTAATGTGAAGTCACTCTCTTGTACAACATGTAGCCTCGTCTAAAGTACTTTTTGGGGGTAAAATCATGTTCATGTCTTGGATTTTATTTCTTGCAGATGACTTGATCAAAGTGCACAAGTTCAAGCCGACCATCAAATGGCGACAGTCCTTCGAGAACTACCTGAAGACCATGCCTCCATATTACATCGGGGTCAGTGGACTTCAGCTCCTCTTTCTCCAGCTCTTTAAGATTTATTTGAATATTTGATCGATGCTAAAAGCTGCTGAACTGGTCTCATGGCTGTTGTTCTCTCCACAGTCCCTGAGGAAAGCCCTGAGGATTATGGGAGCTCCGAACCTTCTGGCTGACAACATGGAGTACGGGCTGAGCTACAGCGTGGTCTCCTACCTGAAGAAGCTCAGCCAGCAGGTGAGGAGTCAGGATGTTGTTTCTCGCTACCTTTGGGCACATGTCCCATAAAGTCAGTCTGTGTCTGTTATCCAGAGGAATCATATTCCTCCGTGTCTTTGAGCTCCGTTATTTTTCTAATAACTTTAGGCTCTTTTTTACATTTTAGTTTAACATGAACTGCCCTGCTGGCATAATTACTCATGAGTGCACCAGAATGAAAAGCTTAAAATAGTCTGAATGCATTATTTACTCCTATTTAAATATGTTTTTATGAAATACAGGTCCTTTTTTAACTATTCCGTTTTTAACTTGACAATAACACATTTTTGAGGCAAATAGTCGAGTAACAAGTAAAATTGCTATTTTTGGTTACATATTTTTACAACATATATATATATAGAGTTTTCAATTGGAGCTTAAAGGGGACCTATCATGCAAAATGCACTTGTTGATGTCTTTTCTACATAAACATGTGTCCCCGGTGTGTCGGGGAACTCACGCAGCGTCAGAAAATATTACCCTCTCTCTTTTCCTCCGTACCCACATCTCTAAAAACGGGGGAACAACGGAGCTGATCCAGATTTGCGTCCGATATGACGTAATATCTGAAATGTGGACCCACGGCCCTATCAGAAACGTTGCTATCAGAAACAATGCCCGACTGTTTTGGACGTAATATGGTCGGTGTTTACGTTAGCATCGCTAACACTCAGAGCTAACCTGTACTGGAGAGCATGTGTGTGAAGAAGCAGGAAGTAAAAAGGAACTCACCTTGTGGTATAACCGGCAAGAGAGAAAGCCTTTGAGCTCCATACTGTTTCAGAGATAATCCTTGATAATCCATGATATGGCGTTTCATCACGGCAGTATTTAGTTTAGACAGTAGCTGCCGGGTCCCGCATGAGATCAGACCCCTACTTTTTTATTTTATCAATTTATTTTTATTTTAAAGCTTTATACCCAAATCAGCACTTTTGAAACAGGAAGTGAAATAGAGGGATATGAGGCATGGCTAGAATGGGTGATCTGTTTGGTATTTTGAGAAAAACACTTCATAGAATAGCATGATAGGTGCACTTTAAGGTTGTTACTTGTAT